TAACTGTATTTGACTTATTTACATTATTAATCTGGCATCTTCCTAATGAGAAACAAGCGTTTTTTATTTTTACAGGGAGATGGTTTGTGTGTGTGTGCTTTGATTTTTAATCAACCAAAATATTCTACTATGCTTGATTCCTCTGGCTGATCATTGTTCAAACATTATAAAAATATACTCTGTACTCTCCTTTATTGTGGAATAATGTAAAGCGTGGTTCGTGATCGGGGTTTGTATTGTTGAAGGATATGGAGCTTACCAGGGAATAATGTTGGATGTTAATGCTCCTTCTTCTTCTAATAGAAGTTTCAAATTGCTGGGATACGTCCACATACCATTGGTTAAAACTGCTGTGTTGAAGATTCTGACGCCTGTGTTGACATAGCTAGCTCTGTTTTTGGTTGGTATCGAGTGCTTCTGCTGAGATATATATGCCGTTATCAACTACAAAGCTTAGAGCAACTGTTCAATATTCAACTACAAAGCTTATAGCAGCTGTTAAATATTCAGCTTGGTCCTTTACATTACTCTCAGATTGGTCCTTTACATTATTCCAAGTGTTACACTACATGGCATGGAAATAAGGTGCTCGGTATTTCAGTTGAATAACTCAGAATAAGTTTGTTAATTCAGTACGTTCAAAGGTGGACAGATGCCAGTTTATCCCTTTGGGTTTACTCTAATGATTGCTCTGTCAATATGATGAATGTAAACACCTCCATTAGAGTAGGATGAAAATTTAGTTTTCTCTTCCAGCTTCTCGATATTTGATTCTCTAAGCTTTCACTATAAAATATGGGTTATATATGTAATAAAGCACTGAGTTTGACATGAAAATGTTGTTCCAAAACCTACCCTTGGTAAGGAGGCCTGTTCCATGTAAAATACAATTTAAAGAGAACGTAAATGACAGCTTGAAGGAATCTGTAGTAGGTTAAAGGTAGAAAATTTGAACTGATATTTTTGCCTTCAGTGAAACAGATGGAGTTTGCATTGAATTCATCAAGAAAAAATTGCAAAAAACTTTATGCAAATTAATTAACCAGCTATTTGTCTGCTGTTTGCAGGACTTACTGCAAATAGATATTAAATACCTCACACTGAGTCCAGCTGTTAAGCTGTACTGTAAATTTCTGGGAATAAAATACTGGCAGAGTAAATATTTTAACAGACTGGTGGCCAGTCAAAATTATGAAATCAGTTTAGAAACAGCCTATATTAGACATCAGCAAATCTTTCTGGAAAAATCTCCTAATGTGTAACTATCATAATATGATAAAAACTATGAGTATATAAAACATAAAAAAGGATATGACTTCTTTATACGAAAAGCTAGGAAGCTAGCTAATTCTCCATGACATAAAGCTTCCCCATTCTTGTCTGTTAGAATTATAGTGTATTTTTTTTTAAATAGAAAGCCATTGCATTTTTATTACATGAAGAGTTTTGTAAGAATTGGATTTTACACTGTACTATGGGGTTGTTGTGTTAAGATTTAAAGTTAGTTAAGATTTAAGATTATTCTGAATTATATGCTGTTTAGAAAAGAAAGTAACACAGAAGAGTTTTGGGGTTGAATTCTAAAAAATATGAGTGCTATAGGGGAAGTTGCAGGCCGCCCTCTGAGTGTGAGCAGAGCAGAGAAGGACATATCTGATTGCTAGAGAGAGTACTGGCCAAAGGCAAAAAAGAGGTTAATACTGACTAGAAAAGAAATTAACATTGTTGTAGGGGAGTTTGGGCTGTATTCACCCATCTTAGTTTTTAGACTGGACAGGGATATTAGGAACCACCAAATCCATTTTATAGATGAAGGATTTGAAGTTCAGAAAAGTTGAATGACTTATCCAAATTCACACAGCATGTTTTTGGGAAATTCAGAACAGGAAACCAGGTCTCTCTCCATTCTACCACAGTTCCAGGATAACAGGACATTTATGAGGCTTTGAAAAAGTGGGGTGATTAAATCAAAATGGTGCATCAACAGTTGAAATGGATGATGGTGGTTATGATCCATTTAAGAGAACAGAATGGAAGAGAGGGATGTTAGAAAAATGTTCTAAAGTTCCTAGTTGGTAGTAATGGTTGGACGAAAGCAGTTGGACAAAAACATTGGCAGTGAGCTGGACAATCAGAGGGAGGTTTCAGAGATGTAATGAAGAAAGGCCCAGGGACTCTGTGCTTCCACCGCGCAGTGGTCCCC